TGGCCTGGGTTTTCAATTGATGTCCCTAACGAGCCGCTTTGGGGGGGCGGGGGCAAACCTTGAGTGGGCGTGGCCTGATGTGGAAGGGGCGTGTCCGAGCGACTGACCACGCCCCTTTCTCCCCCCAAAATAAGCTCCGCCCTCCAAGGGGCCTCCACCCACAAGGCCGTGGGGGGGGAGGGGCACCCCCTGCTCCGGCGCTACTACGAGTCCAGGGTGAGAGGGGGAGGAGCTTCAAGGGGGTGGGAGGGGCCTAATGGGGGTGGGAGGGGCCTGATGGGGTGGGAGGGGCCTGATGGGGGGGGGAGGGGCTTAAGGGGGGGGGGGAGGGGCTTGGGAGGGGGGGGGCTTGAAGGTGGGAGGGGCTTGATGTTGGGGGGAGTGTCTGAGTGGGGAGGGAGGGGCTTGATGGGAGTGGGAGGGACTTGATGGGAGTGGGGAGGGACTGAAAGGGAGGGGGCGGAGCTTGATGAGGGGGAGGGGCTTTTGGTGATGCTGACCACGCCCCCTCCCCCTTTGGCCCCGCCCCCTTTCAGCCCCTCCTGTTCCTGCTCTGCGCCGGCAACGAGGGGTTTTATTGCTGCCTCTACCTGCTCAGCTTCGGGGAGGGACCCCCAGGTGGGACTGGGGGCACTGGGAGGGACTGGGAGGGACTGGGAGGGGATTGGGAGGGACTGGGAGGGACTGGGAGGGACTGGGAGGGGATTGGGGGGCACTGGGAGGGACTGGGATGGCACTGGGAGGGACTGGGAGAGACTAGTTTATACTGGTCTGTACTGGTTTATAATGGTCCTGACTGGTCCGTACTGGTTTATATTGGTCTATACTGGTCCATACATATTTATACTGGTCTGTACTGGCCTATACTGGTTCTGACTGGTCCTTACTGGTCCTGCAGTGTTCCCGGGAGGCCCCAGGCTGGCCCGGGTGAGGCTTTGGGTATTACCAGTCCATACTGGTTTATACTGGTCTATACAGATTTATAGTGATTTATACTGGTCTATACTGGTCCTGACTGGTCCTGACTGGTCTGTACTGGTCCCACAGTGTTCCCGGGAGGCCCCGGGCTGGCCCGGGCGGGGCTTTGGGTGTTACTGGTCCATACTGGTCTATACTGATTTATACTGGTTTATACTGGTCTGTACTGATTTATACTGGTCCGTACTGGTCCGTACTGGTCCTGACTGGTCCGTACTGGTCCCGCAGTGTTCCCGGGAGGCCCCGGCCTGGCCCGGGTCGGTCTCTGGCTCTCGGCCCCTTTGGCCGCTCTGAAGGTGCTGCTGAACCTGCTGCAGTTGGGCGGGGCCCTGAGGGGCGTGGCCGCCCTGGACGAGGCCGAGAGGGCCAAGAGGGGCTGAGGGACCCCCCCCCAAAACCCCCTCCCCCCACCCCCACCCCAAAAACACCCCAAAATCCCCCCGAAAAAACACAAAAACCTCAATAAAGTGGAAAAAGGGGCGGAGCCTCGGCCTGGAGTGGGCGTGGTTTGTGCAGGGGAGGGAGGGGCGAAATGGAGGGGGAGGAGC